CTGTTGCTGTGGTGACTGGCTCTGGGTCTGTTGCTGTGGTGACTGGCCTTGAGTCTGTTGCTGAGGCGACTGGTTTTGGATCTGTTGTTGTGGAGACTGGCCTTGAGTCTGTTGCTGAGGCGACTGGTTTTGGATNTGGATCTGTTGTTGTGGAGACTGGCCTTGAGTCTGTTGCTGAGGCGACTGGTTTTGGATCTGTTGTTGTGGAGACTGGCCTTGAGTCTGTTGCTGTGGCGACTGGTTTTGGATCTGCGGCTGAGGCTGTGTCTGTTGTTGTCTTAGTGACGGGTTTTGTGATGCTAATGGGGTTGGTTGTTGTTGTGTCAGCTGACTAGCTCTAGTAGGTACTCGAGTAGTGGGAGTAGTAACATCATTGCGTGGTTGATACCCGGCATCTTGTTGTTGCTGTGGTGCATATTCTACCCCTCCTAGTGGGTTATTCCACCTGTACCTTGTATGATATGATTGTGTTGGTGTTGTCTGTGTCTGCTGCGTAACTCCTGCAGCTGACGGAGTAGTCGTATACCAGGGTGGATTCTGATAGAGGTTACGATCTTGTTGAAAAACCTGTTGACTGCTACCTTGATTGACAGCTGCCACTACATTTGTTAGATCCCTAACTCGTGGATTCACAGGAGGTCTTGTTATCGTGTCTTTTTTTATATCAGCATGAGGAACGTCAGATCTGGCATAGGGAGGGAAAAGCATACCTCCGTAACTCAACACAGGCATGATCTCGCTTTCATTGGATGCTTTGTTGATTATGGTAGCTCCTGTTGGACGCAGAGATCGTTTTTGGTTCAACTCGCGCAGCTCATCACGAAGTTTTTCTAACCTCAACATCGGATCTTTTTCGTTGGTTTTAAAAGACTGTTTGTGGAATTTAATTTTCACTTCTTTTGAGTGCTCTAAGGTTTTATCTTCTAGACTTTTCTCCGGAGGTTTGAGATCGTTAACTCCTTTAGAATTTTGCTCCATTTTTTGTTTTTCCACCTCGTTTCTCTCTTTTATCTTCGCAAACTTTTCTTCTGGGTTGACCTTATTGTGGAGTAATAAGTTCTGGATGCGTTTTCCAGCCGAATTTCCACCAAGATAAAATACCTTTCCATTCAACAGTGACTGAAGCATTGCCTCGCTCTTGGAGAGCGTAGGAGTAGAATTGAGAGCTTCCTTTGGGGAAGATAAGAGCCCTCTTGTCAATGTTTGTTTTAAAGATGCTGGATTCAAATTCTTAGGTCCACTTCCAATTCCAATTTTTCTTCCTCCAAAGTTTGGTCTCACATTCCCTAGATATAAAGGCTTTCCACCAATAGCAGGTCGTGCCACTGTCTGCCGGGTACTATGTGGGCCGACTAGGTTACCGTTGCCATAGAAGCCTTTAGCATAGAAACTGTTGCTAGGGCGAGGTCTCACAAATTTTGTATTTTTGCGAACTATTTCTTTAGCCTTTTCCAAACGCCTTCTTGACGCCATAACACTTGTTCGTTTTGCAATAATTCCCTTACGGGACCAATCTCGATAGTGATAAGCTTTCGTTTGCAGATACCGTTTAGTACCTACAGATGTGGCTGGCAGATACCAACCCCTAGGCATTCCAGGTACTGGCACGAGGTTTCTCATACCAATATTATTCATTCCTTGGTACACACTGTTTGGATATGCACTGTAATATGGACTTTGATAAAGCTGATTTCTGCCGAACGCATTCGGGTACGATCTAGGAATGAATGACCTTCTAGTATTTCCGTACACATTACGAATTGGAAGTTGATAAGACCGAACGCCCCCGACAGTATTCCGACCGTTTCCGTAGAGTATGTTGGTTCTTGTTTTATCCTTTGAAGGTATAGCGTTAAACGATGAGCCAGGAAATTTTCCCAAAACATTTGATTTAACTTCACCACTGTTCGTATTTAAAGGGACATTATGTGACTTCCTTGAAGACGGAATAAAGAACCTCGGCACATTATCATGTGGGGGACCAGAGGGTCTCGAGTTTGCTCCCTCGCGATAATGCGCCTTCTTTCCCTTATTGAGTTTTGAGATTTGAAGGGCTTTCAGTCTTAAGAAATTCAATCGATTATCAATCGTTTTTTGATTAATCTGTCCCTTAACGTTACTTTGTTTCGTGTATGGCACTTTTATCTTAGGCTTTAGTTGCTTTTTTCCCTCTATTAATGGTTTCTCATGCGCATGCGTAACTTCACTTAGAAAACGAGCTGCTTTGGATAAAATCCTGAAATCCTTTTTGAAGTCTGATATTCCTTGTGATTGACGTTTGATCTTACCTACAATAGACAAAATAAAAAGTTAAGCTACGAAAATGCGCTCCTGAGATATTTGCGTCTGTCGTAAGTTTTGGCGTAATTTGGGGAATCAAGCAGTAGTGCCGACTCGCCTCTCATTCCTGGGGTCTCGGGCTCCTGGACTCGGCATCACGTGTGAGTAGAGTTCTTTGGGTCTCTCCCTTGATTCAGGGGTTTTTCTCTGGGTTTTTTCGGTTTTCCACCTTCAGCAATAACTTGCATATTAAACTCGAATTTAATCTTTGAGTTTGCCAGGATAAGTCCTAACTTAGATCAGCCAGGGGTTGTTTCAGGGTTTGATCTGTAGTGAATTAGCCGTGCCCTGACTTAGATCAGCCAGGGGTTGTTTCAGGGTTTGATC